TTTTGAGACACAGAGCAAGGAAAATGAAAGCTAGAAAGACGCCAAGATGCAAAGAGAAGAAAAGGGAAGAAATGAGAGACACCGAGAGATCAGCAGAGCTAGAGATGGGCCAAAGGCGACAGACACTAAAGAGCAGGAGCAGCCTAAGCGCTAAGGCCTCGCGCTTCGAATTGAAGTTTGGCCTAAGCTGAGAGCATGAACTTGCAGAGGCAAAGTGAGGCAAAGTCTATAAATGCGCAAGGCTTTTCATTAGCTGGTCCACTGAAGCTAAACTCTTTATGCTGCATAGCTCAGACTCAGCTCTTATTGAGCTGATATGAAAAACTGAAGTAGATAGATGAACTTGAGGTGGTTTATTGTCGAGCTGTGAAATGAAAAACTATGAAAATATTTGAGCAAAATTCTTAAAATGCTGCCAGAGGCGACTCGCTCTCTTTCTCTCTCTCTCTCTCTCTCACTTGCGTGTGGCACAGAGGGCTGAGAACGAATAATTGAGGGGCGTGGGCGGCAGGGCGTGGCATCCACTTGTAAAACTGTTTGCCAAAAATATGCAAGCAATTAAGGCAACTATTTCCGGAGCGGAGAACTTGCAACAGCTGCTGCAGCAACAACAACAAAATCTAAAGGATGCGCGCAGGACACGATTCAAGCTGCTGTTGCCTAATCTGCCGCAGCAGCAGCAGCAGCACAAAACTTGATCGCAAACTGATAGCCAATGGGTTTCGGGTTTATTCTTCTTTTTGTTGGGTTATTTATTGTAGCCAAGCTGCCAAGATACCCTTTGCACTCTCGCCCGTCGCCCGTCGCCCGTCGCCCGTCGCTCCTGATGGCATGATGTATGTTGGTCCCCTGGTCTGGTGCCTGGGTGCGTGCGCCGTTCGGCGTCACGATATACGCTTAGATAGTGAGCCGCAGCGCCGCAATTGATGGCATTAGGCATTAGATAAGAAATCAGACATTTATAGGTACACAGGGACGGAAGGACGTGCGGACGGACGAGACAAGGGACTTCTCGAACAACAGCAGGAAGAAGCAGAAGAACAACATCATAATCATCCAGCGAGCAGAGCTATCATTAAATAGCTTAGGGGTTAGGCCTGCACTCAGGGGTTGAGCGCCGCCAAGGGTAGCAACTAATTTCGCTTTTATTTCGAGAGTGAGAGAGACAGAGAGTTGCTCTTCCCAGCGACAGCAGCCATTGCCCATGTGAACCATGAACTACTCATGGCAGACCCTTTTACCAAATGTCTAGTTGACGGAATGCAAAGAAGTTTGCCACAATTAATGGATGGCTAAGAATGGCCAAAGTGTCTATTGAAAGGGGCTTAGGCTGAGCAGGGGCAGCAAAGTGGGATAAGATTTGCCTTAAAGAGCAAAGATTTGGCTATCAAAAATGTTCGCAGACAACGAGCAAGACAATCAACTAAAGAGGTATATATATAATATATAAATATATATATAAAGAGGTATATATATACCCCATATGCAATAGGCATATGTGTCTAATTCCTTGACTTTCAAGCAGAAAGCTGAAAGAAAGAAAAACCTCCCCAAGCCAACAGATCATTTGCTCAGCAGTAAGTGAAGTCTCAGGAGAAAACTTTTCGCGAACTCAAATTTTTCATGGCGTTAAGCAAATTTGGTTCACCTTTAAGCAGTCTTCAGCTGCTTCAAAGCATAGAAATTGTTTGGGTTCGTCTAGCTTCAAACTCTCTAAGCCAACTTCCAAGTATTCTCTGACCCAATTGGGGTAATGAAAACATATTTTTTCTATCATAAAAAAATCCTTGATTTGTCAACTCACAGCGGCAAGTTTAGAAGCATCTAGAATCTAAATATATATATATATGGATATCTAGAGATATATGTGCACATAGATATCTATATATATATGTAATAGTTGCTTGATTCATTTAATTGGCTTCATATTGTAAATGGAGGCAAAGCAGCCACGGGCCAGGGTCAGGACGTGGCTGTGGTCTCTGCCACGGGGTCTGCTGTCAACTTCAAAGCAGCCTTTCAAGTTGTATTTTGGGCAACACCTAGCAGGCAAGACAAGAAGACTACCTGCCTGGCTATGACAGACAAATTGGCCATATCCCATATCTCAATGCATCCGCACACTCGCACACCCGCACACACGTAGACGGGCGGACATGAGTTTGCGGGCCGCCTTTGATTTTCTAAGCGAATTGTTTCAAGACAGCCCGAGCTGGCACAGGATCTGAGGCTGGATAAGGCTTGAAAAGGCTTGACAGGACATGTGAGCTTCAATTAATTTGATTTGCGTTTCAAGGGCCCGTCGAGAACCGGAAATGGAACTCCACTTCAGTTTATTTGTCAACTTGGCTGTGATAAATTTTTTGCGCTTGGTCTGCTGCGCAAGGGCGTCGACCACTTGGCCATGGCTGAATGAGCACACAACGAGCCACTGCAGATGCCATTTGAAGATGGCCAACTATGCTTTGAACTATAAATGAAACTAATGCCGCGCAGACAGACCGACAGACAGACAGACAGACAGACAAAGAGACTTGGAGAGCTGCTGCAGCACTTTGGGTCGTTAGGTCCTTGGCGCTGCAGCTGGACCGCCACTTGACAACGGCTTGAAGTGCTGCCAGGCAGAGTTTCGGCAACACAGTGTGGCATGGGCCTGGGCATGGGCCCCTTGGTTGGTTGGGGCCGCTTAATTGGCAAAGGCACTGCGCCAGCTACAACAATTAAACGCATTAGGCAACACCTCAGACACCAGGCACTGAGCGGGAGCAGGCCAACCCCCAGTGCGGTTCATTTCAATAATTTTTGTATTTTAGGGTTGCGACAGCCGCAACATGGCCGACACACACACACACACACACACTCGCACACACACACATGTGCTCGGGGCGTTTTAAAACGCGCGCGTTTTTTGCTCTGGCCAAGCTAAGTGCATTTCAATGTCGGCTCAGGTTGGCAGGTCAAATAGGCATGCAGCTCAGTTCACATGTGAGCAATTATATGGCTGGTGGGGGTGGGCGGGTGGCAACGACTTACTGTTGTTTTGACACGCAGCCAGCGGGCACAAATAGTATTAAAAACAGAAGAAAAAGGCGGGCGCAAGGGCGCGGGTGCAGTGGGTGGGGCTGACCTCGGTTCCAGGTGCCGTCCGCTGACCGCAAAATGTGTTAAATTATAGATTTGAGCGTTTGCTGAGAGCGACAACAGCTGTTGGAGCACACTCTCTCTGTCTCTCTCTCTCTCTCACTCTGCCGCCCCCCTGCCCCCTGGCCGTGTCTTGGGCGGGGAACACACGCAGCGCCTTGTGTCGGCACGCGGCGTTTGAACTAAGCGAAATTAATGGCCAACACAGGCTACTTAGCGGAGGAGCCAAAGCCCACGCACACAGAGACAACAGCGATGTTGTTGTAGCCCTTATGGCATTCGCTGATGTCTGCGCCGTCTTGTTCGGCGCGCGCGATTTATGACTTGGCATGCAAAAAGGCAAAGCACAGCACAAGGCGAGCGGGGGCGGCGGGCAGCGGGCAGCGGGCAGCCGGGCCAGCAGACATGACAAAACTGCATGGCGCCCGCCAGCGTCGCCATCATTGAGCGCTGCGCGCTGTTTTTGCCCACCCGTTGCGACGCCGCCGTCGCCGCCTGATCAATAAGAAAAGAAACTGCAAAATTTGCGCAGCAGTTGATGAAATTTACGCGATCGGCATCGGCAAAGTTCAAAAGCAGCGGCCTTGGCGGCTAAACAAACTGACCACCGAGCAGCCACCGAGCACCGAGCACCGAGCACCAAGCACCAGCGCCAAAAGCCAAGCCGCCAATTTGTTTGGCGCTCGCGCCCACTGCGCCCCAGCAATGAAACGAAACGAAAGTTGTCGTCGTCGTCGTCGTCATAGACGCCGTTCCTGTCTTTTTGTGCGTCTTATCCGTGCGTGTGAGAAGTTTTAGATAAGACTCGCTCTGTCTGTCTGTCTGTCTGGCCTGTGGCGCTGCTTGGCTGCTTGGCTGCTTGACTGCCATACTTCAAAGTGGGCACCGGGCACCGCTTAAAGCATTCGCCAGCTACGCAAATTCTGCATTGATAAGCCAGCTGGGCAGGGACTCTCATTGGAGAGGAGTGTTAGGTGCCGGCACAGCTTCCTCTTTAGGCATACATATGCATGTATATATGTGTGATATAGTTAGATAATATTCGCTTTGAAGTCAGCAGCAGCAGCCGCAGCAGCCGCAGCAGCACGTGTTCATCAAACTGTCAGCAAACAGCGGAAATGCGCGAGAGCGAGAAAAGCATCTACAGTTCCAGTACTTGGAATCTAGAAAAATCACTTACCAAAACTTATTGAGCACAATCTAAACTGTGAAAATATGTCAATAATCATATTAGAAGCAACTCCGAAATATTCCGAAATTTTAGGAACTACTCCTAATTGTTTACTGAGCACAAATCGATATGAAAAGCTTTACAAACTCTTAAAACGAACTAAATTGCATGCTCCGAATAACTCCGAATAACTCCGAATAACTCCGAATTACTCCGAATGACTCTAAACGACTCTTCTAATACTTATAAAATGTCAAACCTATGGAAAAGGCGCATTTCTAGTAAAAATGCATAATTCACATTACTGCGAATTACTCCGAATTACTCTTTAAGCACTTTTAATATGTCAAACCCATACAAAATATGCATTGTAAGTAAAAATGCATTATTCACATCACTCCGAATAACTCCGAATGACTCCGAATTGCTCTCCTAGCATACACACCACATCGAAGACAATTCAAATTTTCAAATTCCAACAAATTTTCAGTTTTAAATACCAATTTACAAAACGAACTACTCCGAAATACTTGATACCTGTCAAGTTTTGTAGCACCTATGCCGTGGTTCACTGATGAATGATAACAGATAAGAACGAAAAGGAAATATATTGTGTATTATTTGGATACGTGTTTGTTGTCAGGATCTAGGGCTTAAATAACTAATGCGGTAAACAAAGAAGACGTACAGTACTTACAAATCCATGTTTATCACTAATATTGTTGGTCAATTTTAATTTGTGAAATGAAACAACTTTTTGCATCCATTGCTCACCCGTTGTGGGCGAATCTGGATGGATGTACATGCGTTTTGGCATTTCAGGATCCGCTTTGCCAGCGACCATCCAGCGACTGTAAAAAGGAGCATTATTTATTGAAATGCACACACACACAGACACACACACAGGCACACACACACTTACCTATTGTGAAATTTATAGCGATAATCATCCGCCGCAACGATATCCAGTAGCAATATGTATTTAGCCTTGGCATCCAGACCCGAAACACGAAATTTCATTTGCGGAAACATTTGTCTGCAAGCACAAAGAGTGAGGGAGAGAGAGAGAGAGGGAAAGAGTTGTGGTTAGAGTGAGATGGAGCACAAGTCATTTTGGCTGGGTAATCAAATAAAACATTAATCAGCACGGCATAAAGCCTAAACGCAGCAGCGGTTCTCAGGGGGCCCACCAGCAGGCTCCACAAATGTGCAACACACACACACACACACACACACACACATGGGCATGCACACAATCACAATCATCATCATCATCATTATCAGTGCCTGGCGAAAAGCAAACAAAACCCCAAACGGCGATCAGTCGCGGAGTCGCCACGTCGTTGCCAGGTTATCAAGTGGCGCCAAGCCGCAAATTGTTTCCAGCTCCAGACTGGCGTTCGACCGCAGTCGAGTCCGAAATTCAAATTGGCCACGGCCACGGCCACGGCTAAGGCTAAGGCTATGGCTAAGACCGAGGCTTGTTGATTAGCCTTAGTCCATGTTCTGGCCATGTTGGTGGCAATGCGCAAACTCGAAAATTACATGGCCAGGCCGGGGCGATCAGCGACCAGGCTGAGGCTCTGTGCCTCAGCTAACCACCCAAGTAAAGGGCTGCACCCTCACACACACACACACACACACACACACACACACACACAAATATGAAAATTATAAGTTTAAGTAGCAATCACTCAATCGCTGCTCTGGACGCCGTCTTCGACTGCGACTCTGGCCGAGCGCCAGCGCCTCATGAATCAAATTTAACGAACGTCTTGTTCATGTTCACAGATCATCATCAGCTGCGCCTGCATTTTGATAAAAAACAAAAACAAAAACAAAAAGGCCCCCAAACAAGCCCGGGCCAACAGCAGAGGAGACTGACTCTGGGCAGAGGCTAACAAGCTGACTGATGTCTGACTGCCTAAATGACTAACTGACGAACGGACGGACGAACGGACGGACGAACGACGGACTGACTGGGAGACAGGCCGAGGCACTAACTGAACGAACTGCAGCGATGTTTCTATTTAGAGAGCTGCAAAAGCTGAAGCGGGGCCAGCAGCAAGTGGGCAGAGCAGCCTCAAAGATGCGCCAGCTGGGCATGCACGACTGCAAGCATACGCTGTGTGAGTGCAAGGAGTGCTGAAGCTGCCCATAAGAACTTTGACAACTTTTTGTGTGTGAGCTTAGGAAATATTTTTGCAGCAGGAAAACCTAATTCGCTCGCTCTGCCTCTCTCTCTCTCTCTCTATGTATATCTAATAGCCATACACATTTACAGGGTATACAAACGTTTCGGGCCACTTGCCGTGGCAAAAAGCCAAAGCCAGCCCACGTCTTGCAGCCTTCGTCTGCCTTGAGCCGGCCGCCTTGGCTCCCCCCACCACGTTCGACTGCCTTTTTCGACTGCAAATTATTTTTTATTTGCGAGCCAGCAGCAAACGAGACTCGAAACGAGGCTGAGACAGAGACTTGGGACTGAGACCTGGGACATGGGACATGGGACATGGGACATGCAACTGGCAACTGAGGCCGTGGCACGTCTGCCTGGTTAGTTGGGCTCCTTTTGGCATCGTTTCTGTTCTGCTCCTTTTTTTCTTTTCTTTTCTCTCAATTTTTTTTTTTTTGGGTTTTGTTGCTGTTGTTGTCTTAACTGAATAGCTCGTTAACATTATTGAGCACTTGGCGCCAGTTGTTGGCAGCTTGTTATGGCCAGAGCCAGAGCCAGAGCCAGAGCCAGAGCCAGAGTCGGAGCTCGAGTCGCGACGCATAGCCCCATAGCCGCAAGCGCCAACTGGAGCCAAGACGCTTGGCCCCTAAAAACAAATCGGCCCACCACACGCGCACAGCAACGCCCCACCCCCTGCCCCATCCTCTATATTCCTGGGCGCGTGTGTGTGTGTATGTGTGTGTGTGTGGCACCTCCTCTGCGGCTGTGTGTGTAGCTCGAGCTGTGCTCGACAACAAAACGATTTGCTCTCGTTTGTGTTTGCCAAAGCTGAAGCTGCGGCTGTAGCTGCTGCCTCTTCTTCTTCTTCGTCGTCTTCTGCTTCTTGCTCTTCTGCTGCTGCTTCTTCTTGCCTCTGCTTGGGCTGGCGTAGCTTCGTGCAAATCGTTACGTGTAAAACTTGCACCTTTTGACCGAAAGTTGTTTGTTTTGTTCAAGGGGCCACACATTATTTCTTTCTTTCCTTTTTTTTCCCGAACGCGCTCAGCTAATTCAATTTCCTCATATGCCCATCTCGCTCTGCCGCTGCCGCTGCTGCTGCTGCTGCTGCTGGCTGTTTTTATTGCAGAGCAATAACAAACAACAACGAGCTGTTAATGTGGCTTGAAAGTGTTTGGCAGGCTACTTGGGCTCGACCCAGCTCGCTGCTCACAGAAACCCAGAGCCCATAATTAAGCCTAATTAAGCCGACGACTGTGTGTCCGAGTGTGTGTCTGTGTGTGTGTGTGTGTGAGGTGTTGCTGGCTCGCTCGCTCGCATCCCTATTGAGGTTAATGGCTAATCAATTAGCCCTGGCTTCAAGCACTTGGGCTCGGCTCCTGCTGCCTGCATGCACTGCGCCTCGGCCTCGGCCTCAGCCTGCCACAGCGATTGAGTTGTAATTGGCATTTCGATTTGCCATTGACATGCTCCGAGCCCAAAGTCAAAGCCAGAGCCACAGATAACGCTGATAATATATATATATATATATATATATATATATATAAATGCTGCCCGAATTACGTAATGACGCAACAGTAAACGTTATCAAATAGCCGCCAAGGTGTGCGGCATATCAAAGGAGTGACGCAGTGACCATGTGAAAGGTGACTTTGCCTAGTCAGCAGTGCTCTCACTTAAGCTAGGAAAGGGAGAGAGCAAGTGAGAGACAGGCAGAGACTCTAGACTTGAGCTAGGACCTAGGCTCTTGCAGCTGACAGGCTTGCTAGCTAGAAAGAAGAGAAAGACGGAGAGGGAGAAGAGTGGGAAGAGGAAGAGAGAAGGGCAGTGGAAGAGAGAGAGAGAGAGAGAGAGGGAGAGAGAGAGAGAGAGAGAGAGCGAGAGAGAGGAAGAGATATGGAGATATCCTTCAACTGAACTAGGCTCTAGACTCTTCCAGCTGTGACAGGCTAGCAGAAAGTAGAGAAGGAGAAAGAAGAATAGGCAGGGAGAGAGAGAGTCAGAGCGCGAAGTATAGGAATTGAAAAAGAGAAAGAGAGAGAGGATGAGAGACATGGCCTAAGGCACTTGACTTCAGTGATCCTTCACTTGAGTTAGGCGCTAGACTCTTCCAGCTGACAGGCTTGCTAGCTAGCAGTAAGGAGAGAAGGAGAAAGAGAAAGAGAGAGAAAGAGCGCGCAAAGAATAGAAAGAGAAACAGAAAGAGAGAGAGAGAAAGAGAGAGAGAGAGATAATGAGAGACATGAGCTAAGACACTAGACTTCTGCTCCAGCTGACGCTGCCTCCCAAAGTCTCAAAGTTGAGTCTTGAGTTGTCAATTTGGCAACAGAGTAGAGCACAAATATATCTGGCTCTGTGAGCCACCTCAAGCTGAAGCAGCTCTCGCTATAAACTGATTCTAAAGCCAACTCAACGTAAGGCGCTCTTCTGTTATCTTTAACTCTTCCCTTTCCTTAACTCTTGATGTCTTCTTCTGCTCTTCTGTTTCCTTAACTCTTGATGACTTCTAGTCTACAATTAGGCAAGTTGCATAGAGTGAGTGCAACATGACTAAGCCTGCCACAACTCTGTATCAAATATTCATAAAGTATTCAATTATGCATTTGGCATTTGATTCGCACGTAGTCACAGTCAAAGTTTGCTTTGAGCTCTGTTTGCCTAATGGAAATTAGATGTTGCCACATGCCGCACACAGAGAGAAAGAGAGAGAGAGAGAGAGAGACAAACAGGAGCTGTGTGGCACAGTGGCACATTTAAAAGGCGTTGCGCTATCAGCCGCAGCTAAATGCTGTCCATTGATGCACCTGTGCCACGTCGCCGTTTATCGTTGAGGTTGAGGGTTCAAAGACGCTGCCTGCCAAAGAAGCGTCAATTGTCAATGCTTTTTATCTGCTGTTCAAATCGCTTGTACTGAGTGAGTGACTGAGTCTGTGTGTGTGTGTGTGTGTGTGTGTGTGTGTGTGTGTGTGTGTGTGTGTGTGTGTGTGTGTGTGGGGCAGAGCAAACGAGACGCACGTTGAGACAAAGGCTCTGGCAGAATGCAGACTCGAGCTGCGCCCCGATCGCCTTGTCGGAGGTTTGTCAACAAGCGCGGGGATTAAGTAGCACCTGCAGCTGCCAACAACAACAGCAACGTCGGCGGCGACGGCTGTTGACAGTTCGCCTTTGTGACAACAAAATTGTTGTCGATTTTTTGTGTTGTTTTGTATATTTTCGTTTCCTTCGTTGTTTTAGTTTTGTCTTACAGCCAGCGAGGGGGCGAGAGACACGAGATATCCCTTAATCTCTCTGGGCAGGTTTGTCAACACATTTTGAATGTGCATCGATAACTATCGATAACTGGCGCAAGGGGTGCATATATTTAACATGGAGATTACAGCGCTCTTTACATATGCTCCCAAAAAACGGGAGCCCAATCGGGCAGCTGCTCTTGGCATTTAATTTGAATTTTATTGAATTACAATTGGATGCAAATTGCGAAATGTGAAATTTATTTGACAAATTTTTGTGAATTAACTTGAATTAGCATTTGACGTGGACGTCAAAGCGGATGTCTGCGACAGCTGCCGCTTGCGTAGACTAATTACATAAGCAGCAAACGCACATGTTAAATTTATTTGCGAAATATAGTTTAACGTGAACGTCAAAGTGATTGTCAAGGCTTACGTTTGAGTCGGACAAACAAGTGATCGAAATTCAACATTTCATTTCACAAAAACATATGCTTTCAGTCAGCAAAATGAAGTTGAGTCGCACTTTAACATGAATATCAAAGTAGTTGTCAAAGTGAATGTCAAGTCAAAAAAAAACATTAAAGAAGTTGACTGTATTATTCACAAATAAAATGAATAAACTGAATTTAACTC